AGATGTACGTGACAGGATTTGTTATTTGTATAGATTTTATTCGAAAAATTTCAGTACTGTAGTTTGGTGTATAGCCTTTCTCAAACACATTCTTATATTTGCTTATTCTGACATAATCCCCTATATTGTATTTAGGTAAGGGGAATACTTTAGTATGACAATAAATTGTATTCAGCAACATTTTTTCATTGTTTTTATTCACATCAATGGGTGCCATGTTTATTGTGCGATGCTTTCTTCTGTTATAATCATGTACCATTTTCTTATATATATCAATCCAGTGATAGGTACCATTATATGAAAATTCTCGAAACATTATAGATTTTAAAGTTCGATTAAATCGTTCAACAATAGATGCCTTTTTTACGCTATATGTTGAGTAGTGGTTAATCGAATGCGTATCCATTAGTTTTTTAAAATCTTTATTAAAAAATTCTTTACCATCATCTGTTTGTAAATTCATGGGTTTTCGGCCATTACTTAATATTTTTTTAAATGCAATACAAACATCATTAGCATTTTTTGATTTTGTTGCTTCTACCCAAGCATACTTAGAGAATGTGTCAATAACTGTTAGCATATATTTCATTCCTTTATTTATTGTAGAATAATTCCCCATTTCAACTAAATCTGCTTGCCATAGATCATCAATTCCTTTTGTGATAACTCTCCGACGAGGAAAATTTTTTCTTGCTTGGGAATGGAGTTCATTTACAATGGTTCTTCTTTCCATGAATCACTTATTAAGAATCTTGTTAAGAATAATATTGTGTGGTGTTGACATTAACGATCCAAAGGTATTTTGATCTCTAACATATCTCAGGGCTGTCCGTAATCTATTTATTTCAATTTGTAATTTTTTTATTTCAGCAGATACATCTCTTATTATTATTTCTTTAGCGTGTAAGATTTGTGTTTGTAAATAAGCTTTGTTGATTGCGTCATTATTTTCCGATGGTGGCGCCACGTTTTTAATTTTTTTATTGTTGATATCGATGTTATAATGCTGGTCAATAGTAATTCCCAAAATTTGTGAAGCATTTTTTCTAAAAGTATTAGAATTGGAGTAGTGACCGAATTTATCAACGCTCATTTCATAATTGATAATATTTCCTTAAAGTCACTCTATTATATTCGCTTCTCTTAATTCTTCTATTATAGATGTGATTTCGTTGTCTTGATTAGTATGGCCAGCATTTTTAGAAGCGATCAACAACTGCAAACGTTCAACCAATTCGTTTGGATCATCCCAATATATATAGTTCGGTTTGTTAGGATTAACAGTCATTAAACCTTCTCCGGCGTGAGCTGATTGAAACATTTTTTTAATTATTTGTGTATATTTTAAGCCTCTATTTCCTCTTATTTGTCCATTAGGTTGGTTATTTTTTCGGTGTGCAAATGTATTTTCCAAAATTTTTTTATATATTTCTAACTCAAAAGCATCGAAGCCACTGGGATTTTTATGAAATAATAGACTATATAGACCTGGTGATAGAGCCCATGTTTGGTTAGCAATTTTTATTTTGTCGCCAACAAAACACATTGGACTATTACCAAATTTCCATTCACCATTCTCATCTTGTTTAGGACCATATATTGTGTCGAAAGTATTATTTTTTAATAATGAGTTCAAACTATCGACACCGTTTGTGTAATCTGTTTCTTTTTCTTCTGCTTCTTCTTCTTCTGAATAAAATGTATCATCATTGGAATCATCTTGAACCTCATCCTTAACATGAACATATTTTCCGTGTTTTATTTTTTTGGGAGTTTTTAACGTGTCTTCTTTTTTCATTGCATTCATAGAGTTTTTAATATCATTTACATTCAAATGAGATAATTTAACAACATCTTCCAATGGTTTTATTATTGGTTTAAATGTATACTCCAATTGTTTACCCATTTCATCTTCTCCTTTTTAATTGACTGAAATTTTCTTTTAAGAATGCTTCTTGATTTAATAAGATCTTTCAAAACGTTCTCATTCATATTGAAATTTAGATTGAAGAAATATGGGGGGTTGCGGTTTTTAATAAACCGGTCGGTTTATGTCGTATACTGGTATCGGTTTTTTAATAAACCGGTCGGTTTATGTCGTATACTGGTATCGGTTTTTTAATAAACCGGTCGGTTTATGTCGTATACTGGTATTGGTTTTTTAATAAACCGGTCGGTTTATGTCGTATACTGGTATTGGTTTTTAATAAACCGGTCGGTTTTTGTCAGTATACTGCTATCGGTTTTTAATAAACCAGTCGGATTAGATTTTAATGCAGCTGCGGTTTGATCGGTTGATAATAAGCGATTTATTGAATTGAGTGGTTTAAGCGATATGTCTAATTGATTGAAAGTAGTTTTGAATACTAAATATTAATGAACACATCAAATCCTTTTCTATAGCGACCATTCATAATGCTGTCATCTTTACTTATAACCAAAAATCCATATTTATCTTTCCAACATTCACGACAAATCTCAGTAAATTTTTGAAATGACATATCTCCTCCAACATGTTCATTAAAAATGTGCTTCATATTTACGCAATCTTGTTTAAAAATGATGAGAAAGTTAGCATTATCTCTTATTAGATGCTTAGGAATCCGAGTATATGTTTGACATAAATAGAATGAATCTATATTTCTATGTCTACCCATACAGAAATAGGCGCGAATGTTATTTTGTTTTTCACACGCAACATCATCAAATATCATTATCGAATTTTCTTCAGCATCATTGGGTTGTATGACATCAGCATTTTCGGAAAATGTATGATAACCCATCCCTTTTATAGGCATAATAAGTTCTTCTAAATATTTATATTTTGGTTGATGAAGTGATTTCGAATATAAATATATATTTTTAAATTTTAATCCATTGGGACTTTCAATTAAACTAATCATAATGTTAGTTTTTCCACAATTTGATGGCCCAACTATTACAGCTCTTATTGAGTTTGGTAATAATTTACTATGTTTAGGTTTTTCGTTAATATTTTGCTTAAAATCAAAGTTTCTGACTTTGATATGTTTATCCTGCTTAATCAAACGCATTGTGAAGACTATCATTTTTTATTTTCATATACTTATATTTATATATGCAAATATTTTATTTCTTTCATTTTAGATTCCTTATAAACATATAAAATGATTGTATATTTCAAAAATAAATTTAATTGCAAACGAAGCTTTCAAGGAAGAGGATTAATTAATCGTATTATTAATTCACTTCCATTTGAGCTACATTTACCTGGATATCAATATTGCGGTCCAGGTACAAAATTGGAAAAACGATTAGAAAGGGGTGATAAAGGAATAAATGGTTTAGACTCTGCTTGTAAACTACATGATATTGAATATTCCAAGACCACAGACGTAAAACTACGGAATAAAGCTGATCAAGAACTAGCTGAACGAGCCTGGGAGCGAGTGAGAGCTAAAGATAGCACTTGGGGTGAAAAATTGAGTGCCTATTTGGTTTCCAACACAATGAAAGCTAAATATAAGCTCGGCATGGGCATACCACAAAAGAGTACATGTAGAAGAAAAGCGTTTTCATCCGCTGTAAAAAAAGCAACAACAATTTTAAAGAAGGAAAAACCAAGCAGCATTAACTCAGCGATAAAAATTGCACGCCAATCTATAGGAAAATCGTTCAAAGGGAATAAATCAAATATTATTATTCCTAGAGTGATACGAGTACCAAAAATCGGTGGGTTTCTACCTATAGTACCAATATTAACAGCTCTAAGCGCTGTTGGAGCATTAGCTACTGGTGGATCATCTATAGCTAAAGCAGTTAATGCAGCAAAAAATGCTAGGAAACAACTAGAAGAAAATATTCGTCACAATAAATCTATGGAAAACGTTGCTATAGGTAATGGACTTTACCTAAAACCATTCAAAAGAGGAATGGGAATCATTTACAGAAAACAAAATTCGACAAAAAACTAATAAGTCAGCTACCCAACAGACCATTAACCGATTTTGATATTAAAACGTTTGGAAAAAAATACATTCCACATTTTAGAGGTGTTTATATGAGAGATCGACTTCCTAGTAAACCACATATCACAGAATGCGGCATTGTAAACCTCGATTCATATTTTGGTCCTGGTACTCATTGGGTAGCGTACTATAAACAATATGAGAAAAGCGAATACTTTGATAGCTTTGGAAATTTGCAGCCACCATTGGAAATATTACAATATTTGGGGACAAACATAACTTATAATTATGTAAGAAAACAGAAATTTAACTCGTTCAATTGCGGACACCTATGTTTACAATTTTTGCTTGAGAAAACTATTTAATAATTTTTTTTGTTTTTAATAGTAATAAGGTTTTTTATTTATAAATTTGTATATTAAATATGTATAAAAACATGTAAAAAAAGTCAATAAAAATATAAAAAACATTAAAACTTTATCCATTGTTAAACTCTTCAATATTAATGCAGCTGTGGAATTTGTTATTTCGTTTGTATGACATTGTTCGGTAATAGTAATATGATGTGCTCCACATGTATCAACGTTCTTTTCAGGTAGAATTTTATTTAATTCCTTAGGATTTATTGCTATATTGTTGGTTGAATTTCTCCTTAGCAAAACACAGTTGCTAGACCCTCGTACATGTTCGGCAATTGGGGAGTCCGCTTCTTTCCAACAGCAAATGTCTACTCCACAAAAATAGCATATTACTCTATCTCCTTCTCCAGTATAATAAAATCCAATCATAGCCATCTCTATAGTTGTCGAATTAAAAGTTTTCAATCGTTCAATTCAATCTTCAAGGAAGTTGAATGATTTTAAACTCTGAAAACCAAAAATGTCTTTTCTATTAAGAAAATAGTTCTGTATTCATTTGATTAATAATTTTCGGATGGTCTTTTAATTCTAGTTTGTATTGTTAATTTGAATAGTTTCGTTATTATCGGTTGCTCGGGTCGCTCATTTTCCTCTGTTGGAGAATTAAAATATGGATCACTTGGGCTTAATTCCCTCAAATTTGCCCCTCTCTTAATTCAGGCTCCATATGTCTGATTTGTTGTTGTTCTTCCTCATAATTCGTACATGCTCTATCGAGCTGTGTATCTGTATACTCCTCAGGTTGCTCGACTATTTCTTCTGACTCCATATGTCTGATTTGTTGTTGTTCTTCCTCATAATTCGTACATGCTCTATCGAGCTGTGTATATGTATACTCCTCAGGTTGCTCGACTATTTCTTCAGACTCCATATGCCTGATTTGTTGTTGTTCTTCCTCATAATTCGTACATGCTCTATCGAGCTGTGTATCTGTATACTCCTCAGGTTGCTCGACTATTTCTTCAGACTCCATATGTCTGATTTGTTGTTGTTCTTCCTCATAATTCGTACATGCTCTATCGAGCTGTGTATCTGTATACTCCTCAGGTTGCTCGACTATTTCTTCAGACTCCATATGACTGATTTGTTGTTGTTGTTCTTCCTCATAATTCTTACATGCTCTATCGAGCTCTACATCTGTGCACTCCTCAGGTTGCTCGTCTTTTTCTTTAGACTCCATATATAATCTTTGTTGCGCTCTATGCAAGATTGTATTTCTTGCAACCTCCAGTACTTCAGGCTCCTCAATCCTTTGATCATCCATTTCCTCAGACTCCATATGGAATGTTTCTTCCATATCCATGTTTTCATTTTTAATTAAATTTGCCATGTTACTCTTACAAAGTCTTTCTTAAACTGAATATATTTCGAAATTTAAACTAGGTTTTTCGATATTTACCAAATCATATCTCTATTATTTTCTATATACATCTTGTATATAATACATTCTTATCTTAAAAATAAAAAATAAGAAAAATGCAGCAGTGAAAAACTTATAATTTAATAATCACATAATAATATTTTTCATTATCATTTCCCAGCCTGAAAAATAGAATTCTATGACAAAAAAAGTACATTAGACGCACAGGCAGCCTTCCTCATATTTTTTTCTACTAACGAAATGTAAGAAACCCAACAACAATGACAACAAGAACACTCGAACGCATATTTCTGCTTAAACTGATTTGTCGATATGCAGCAAACAAAAAACAACGACAAAAAGTATATTTAGACGCACAGGCAGCCTTCCTCAATTTTTTCTACCAACGAAATGTAAGAAACCCAACAACAACAATGACAACAAGAACACTCGAACGCACATTTCTGCTTAGAATCAATATGCAGCAAATGACAACAACAATTACAAGTACATTTAGACACACAGGCAGCTCCCCTCATATTTCTGTCTAGCAACGAAATGTAACAAACAACAACAAATGCAAACACACAACCAGTCTCCCTCATATTTCTGTCTAGCAGTCAGATACATGATAATATTACCCTCTCACTCGAATACTCACAAAGATCTTTCTTATCGCTGACCACCAACCTCTCAAAGTTCATTATCATTCAATGTTTCAATCTCTGACACACTTTTCATTAATCTCAAAGTTCATTACCCCGCAATGTTCATCAATATTTTAATTTATGACCTATTTTTCCAATTACATCGTCCAATATTTATAGCCTAAACCTGTTTTTATAGCCTAAACTGGTTTTTATTGACTAAACTGTTTTTAATAGCTTTTTTGGCTATAAAAAGTGATTCAAAACAGCCTATTGTATACTACTGGCATTTTATTCCTGCTGTGCCCCTCACATGGGAGGATATGGGAAGCTGGAGTCAAAAGCTTCAAAATGCATTTTGAAAAGCAAGCTCGAAATCTAAAATTCACGTTTGAAGAATTAGCGACAGTTTTGGCCAGAATCGAGGCTTAATAGGTTTAGGAAAGTTCAGGCCCTCGCCCACCAATTTAGTTTGAGGTGGAAAGAGGAATATTTAAAACAATTCCACATGAGATATAAGTGGAAATTTCCAGAACGCGAAATTGCTACAGATGATCTTGTCGTTGTTCGTCATGATCAGCTACCCCGACTTCATGGAAATTAAGTCGCATAGAAAATGTTTATCCCGGTTCTGACGGTCACGTTCGAGTCGCCGACCATTACCAAGTTGGTCGTTCTAACCGACCACACTCCGGCGTCCCACTAAATTTTTATCCTTTTCTTAAATAGTATGTCCGCAAAAGTCTACACTGAGGAAGAACTTTAGACTGCTGGACCTAGTCCGAGCAAACCCCATGGTGGAATGTCAACGGCTGCAGTGGAAGCAGCTCTAGTTGAGCCAATACCGGCTGTACAAATCTCAGAGCCTGGGTCCGAGTCTATTGCCATGGATTCATCTGCGGCCCTCGCATCTGCGGTTACACCCATGCAAACCGAGTCCGAATCCAAATCTGTGGGTTCATCTGCGGCTCCGGCCCCTGTGTATACCCCCCAATTGAAACCTCGCGAACCGAGTCCGGATCTTTGGATCCATCTGTGGCTCCGGTTGCCATTTCTCATTCGGAGGAGTCTGCCTCAAATTCAAGGTCCGAATCTACCCTTGGTGATTCATCTGCGGCCACACATAAATGTCGCCTTTGTGATCGCATGTACCCGCTGGATAGATGTAGTGACTTCCGGGTAATGAATGCTGATATGCGAAGAAGAATAATTCTAAAATATAATGACTGCATACGGTGTCTTGCTAAATCCCACCATGCCAAGGACTGCCAAAGCAAAAGAAAATGCGCTGTATGCAATGAAGATCACCACACACTTCTTCATGACGAAAAGAAGACCGTGGCTATACCACACAATAATCGTCGACGTCGTCCGCATAATGATTGCCGAAATCGTCCGAGATCAAGTCCGTATAGTCGTCCGACTGAAAATGTGTCTAGGACACAACTAGGTCTTTTAGGCTTTATGTCCCTTCAGACTGGAATCAGTTTATCCCCGACATTGATTGTCAAATTGGCTTCCTCTGGCCGTCCCACTGTCGTACGGGCGGTATTGGACCAGTGTAGTAGACAGAGTCAGATATGTGCCTCTCTGGTTCGTAGTCTTCGGCTCCCTACTTCCCAAATCGAAGGTAGTCACATATGTAGGCTGACCCTTAACTCTATTTATGACCGGAGTCAGTCCATGACCATACGCTTACGCCTACAGCGGCGATTCCCGATCGCATTAAGGACACTTTTCTTGGCCTTCCTTTGGCAGATCCTGATTTTAATAGGCCTGGTCGGGTGGCCTTGGTACTCGGGCCGGAAGTCTATGCCAGGGTCATAACACATCGGGTGCAAGCGACGCCAGGGTTACCGATAGCCCATTATACCATATTTGGTTGGGTTTTTTCGGGCATATGTAACATGTAGCGTTACAAAATGTTTTGAAAAAAAAAAAAAATATTTGAATTGAAACAAGTGAAAAAGCGTTAAGTTCGGCCGGGCCGAACTTTGGATACCCTCCACCATAGATATATTGACAGGAAATAAAAATATAGGGAAAATACCAAAAAGTGGACCTATATCGACATTTCCACAAACCGTTTATATAAACCACAATGTAAACTATAAAACAAGATTCTGAAATTTTTAACGGACAATTATTTCCACAGATTTATGGATAATGAGGGCATATACACTTTGGCACGGTTAAAATGGTTCTAGATCCATGTTTCTTTGGATCAAATGTGTTTCAGAAAATTTCGATTTCATCCAAACTTTGGCCATCTTCCAAACTTAGTTCAAGTTCGAAGATGGGGAACATCGGTCCACTTCTTCTGGTACATCCCACACAGGGGCTAGGTCTAAATACGGGTTATAGTTCATATATAGTTCATTATCGAACCGTACGTTCTAGTTTTTTATCTCGATATCCTTCGCAGGTGAAACGATTACAACAGAGTGTTAGAACCAAACCCAAAACGCGGAAAAAACAGATAATTATATTAATATAAAAAATGGGGTTATATGGGGACTACGCCTAAAAGGGGTTGACTATTAATAATTTTTGGTAGGGAGATTTGTTTCCATATACGGCTACAAAATACCAAATTTCAGTGATTTTGGTTGAAAAACGCACTCAAGAACCTCCAAATGCCGAAATTTGGGGGAACCCTTATATGGGGGCTACCAGAAAAAATGGACTTATATTTATAATTTTTAGTGGAGATATTTGGTACCCAATATATATATTAAATTTCAGCGAATTCGGTTGAAAAAGAACCCCAAAATACCGAAAATTGGGGGTACCCTTATATGGGGGGCTACCAAAAAAAATTGACCTATATTCATAATTTGTTGTGGAGTGGTTTGGAACCTATTTAGAACTCAAAGTATTAAATTACAACCAATTTGGTGGAAAAATACAACCAAAACCCCCAAAATACTGAAAATTAGGAATTACCGTTATATGGGGGCTACCAGAAAAAGTGGACCTATATTTATAATTTTTTGTGGCGACATTTAGTACCCAATAAGAACCCAATGTAACAAATTTCAGCGAATTCGGTTGAAAAACGTGCTCAAGAACCCCAAAATTCCGAAACCCCCCGAGTTCATGGAAATAAGGTCGCATAGAAAATGTTTATCCCGGTTCTGACGGTCACGTTCGAGTCGCCGACATTCGAACTGAAAACGGCGTTGTAAGACGGCCCATTACCAAGTTGGTCGTTCTAACCGACCACACTCCGGCGTCCCACTAAATTTTTATCCTTTTCTTAAATAGTATGTCCGCAAAAGTCTACACTGAGGAAGAACTTTTGAACGTTGATGAGGGTACGGAGACTGCTGGACCTAGTCCGAGCAAACCCCATGGTGGAATGTCAACGGCTGCAGTGGAAGCAGCTGAGCCAATACCGGCTGTACAAATCTCAGAGCCTGGGTCCGAGTCTATTGCCATGGATTCATCTGCGGCCCTCGCATCTGCGGTTACACCCATGCAAACCGAGTCCGAATCCAAATCTGTGGGTTCATCTGCGGCTCCGGCCCCTGTATATACCCCCCCCCCCCCCCCCCCCTATTGAAACCTCGCGAACCGAGTCCGGATCTTTGGATCCATCTGTGGCTCCAGTTGCCATTTCTCATTCGGAGGAGTCTGCCTCAAATTCAAGGTCCGAATCTACCTTTGGTGATTCATCTGCGGCCTCACATAAATGTCGTCTTTGTGATCGCATGTACCCGCTGGATAGATGTAGTGACTTCCGGGTAATGAATGCTGATATGCGAAGAAGAATAATTCTAAAATATAATGACTGCATACGGTGTCTTGCTAAATACCACCATGCCAAGGACTGCCGAAGCAAAGGAAAATGCGCTGTATGCAATGAAGATCACCATACACTTCTTCATGACGAAAAGAAGACCGTGGCTATACCACACAATAATCGTCGGCGTCGTCCGCATAATGATTGCCGAAATCGTCCGAGATCAAGTCCGTATAGTCGTCCGACTGAAAATGTGTCTAGCACACAACTAGGTCTTTTAGGCTTTATGCCCCTTCAGACTGGAATCAGTTTATCCCCGACATTGATTGTCAAATTGGCTTCCTCTGGCCGTCACACTGTCGTACGGGCGGTATTGAACCAGTGTAGTAGACAGAGTCAGATGTGTGCCTCTCTGGTTCGTAGTCTTCGGCTCCCTACTTCCCAAATCGAAGGTAGTCACATATGTAGGCTGACCCTTAACTCTATTTATGACCGGAGTCAGTCCATATCAATTGTAGCAGTGGTGAACAATTTTGACCATACGCTTACGCCTACAGCGGCGATTCCCGATCGCATTA